CAGTCATGCTTTTGAGCACATCTCAGTTTGATCCTGTGAGAGACCCTTATAATATGACTGTCAATCACAGTTTATATTCAGGATCTTTTGAAAAAGATTAGTTATGCCTGCACTGTTAAAGACATCAAAAGCCTATCCTTTTACTTTGATAATACAAGATACTAAGATCTCAATGGACCACCAGAGTAGACAGTTAAACTTCCTTTGTTGTTATTAGTCTTCATTATTTGTTGCTCATTCAGGAGTTTAGCAAAAGGAGGACAAAAAGTTTAGGGTTTAGTTTAGGGGCAAAGGTTTGGTTTAGGGGCAAAGGAGGGGAATAATAAGAATTCTCTCTTCCCCCATAAAATTTCCCTTTGGTCCCAAATTTTCTAGTATTGCAAAGAGTTAGACAATGAAAATCATTCACATTTTGAATTCTTGCTTTGTTGTCCTCCCCTGGTAACTCTGCCAGGCCCTCTTCTTTGGATGGCTAAGTTGTATTTCTAAACACTGGACTGAAGTTTTAAGTCACCACAGTGCTAGAAACTTGGGGACTGAAGGGAAATTTCAATTGTCAGGGCAAGAATTCTTTATTTGGAGGACAATGCCCTCATTTCACATACACGCACAAAGCTATACTCCTCCATTTATGTATTATTCCTTCAATATGTGCAGCACTAAAACCAGACTCTGGGTGCATCTACATTGTATAAATAATGCAGTTTGATACGACTTTAACTGCCATAGCTCCATCCTACACAATCCTGAGATTTGTAGTTTTTGGAGGCACCAACACTCTTTTGCAGAGAAAGCTAAAGACCCTGTAAAATTATAGGCTGCATCTGAACTGTAGAAATAATCCAGTTTGACACCACTTTAACTGCCAAACCTCAATGGTCCAAAGCAAACTGCAATAATAATCCAGTCTAAGACCACTTTAACTGATCTGACTCAGTGCTAGGGAATCCTGGGAATTGTAGTTTATTGTGGCACCAGAGCTCTATGACAGAGAAGGCTAAATGTCTCAAAAAACTACGCACCCCAGAATTCCCTCGCACTGAGCCAGGGCATTTAAAGCAGTCTCAAAGTGGATTATTTCTGCAGTGTGTTTTGGATCAATGTGATGGAATTCTGGGATTTGTAGTTTTGTGTTGAACAAGAGACTTCTGAAATCTCACCAAAACTAATCCAAGTATTCCATATCTCCTGAAAGTGCTCTGCCCCTATTTCCCAAAGACTTCACCTCCTTGGACAAGTCGCACTCTCTCAGCCTCAGAGGATGGCCATGGCAAACACTCTCGGAACAATCCTTGCCAAGAAAATCCCAGGATAGGATCGCCTTAGGGTCACCATAAGTCGGAAGCAACAACAACAACAACAACAGCAGTGACTACAACTCTCTGCATAACTTTGTATTCTCTCTTATTCTCAACTTCTGGGCAGTGTTGACACAGAGATCAGGATTCAACGAAGTAAAGAAGGCAGGAAATCTATCCAGGCATCAAAAGTTTCACGCAAAGTTTTTTCCCCCTCTCTATGTGTAGTACAATCTCCTCCAATCTAAAATCCACTTTCCCTCCACCCTTTCTTCATTTTTTGGAGATTTTTTCCCCCATCCTTCCCCCAAACTACCTCGCATACCCAATTTTATTTTATTTTTTTAGATGTATGCTTTTATGTATGTAAATGAATTTTGAAATATGGTCACTGAACACAATAAAACTATTGATTGATTGATTGATTGATTGAATTCATTATTTTATTTTATTTTCAGAAACCCAATTAAGATTTTAAACCTACCTTTTTTTCTCTGTGTAGCACAACCTCCTCCATTCTGAAATCCCCCCTTTTCCTTTGCCCTTTCTACATTTTTTGGAGATTTTTCCCCTCCCTCCCCAAGGTACCTCCACACCCAATTTATTTTATTTTATTTGTGGAACCCAAATAAGATTTTCAACCTTCCTTTTTCTCTGTGTGTACTATAACTTCCTTCAACCTGAAATCCCCACTTTCCCCCCACCCTTTGTACAATTTTTGGAGATTTCTCCCATCCCTCCCCCCAAACTATCTCTCACCCCCAATTTTATTTTATTTCCTTTATTTTATTTTATTTTATTTTGAAAAGGCCAAATAAGATTTTCGATTTTTTTCATCTCTGTGTAGTACAACCTCCTCCCAACTAAAATACCCACTTTTTCTACATTTTGGGGAGATTTTTCCCCAGCCCTCTCCAAAACTCCTTCTCATACCCAATTTTATTTTATTTTATTCTACCTTTGTCTCTCTGTGTAGTGCAACAAATCTGAAATCCAATCTGGAAATGCCAACTTTTTCTACATTTCTGGAGATTCCCCCCCCCCCTTTCCTCCATCAAACTATCTCTCACCCCCAATTTTCTTTTATGTTATTCTACCTTTCTCTGTACTACAAACCTCCTCCAATGTGAAATCCCTACTTTGTCTACATTTTTGGAAGATGTTTTGCCATCCCTCCCTCGATCTCTACTCTCTACTTTTTCTACATTTTCGGGATATGTTTTCCCCTTTCATCCCTCAAACTACCACAGTCTCATCCCCCAATTTTGTTTTATGTTCTTCTA